GGGAACAAGCGCAATGGTGATGCGGTATCCGTTGGCGGCGGCCGCAAAGGTCGCCGCCGCGGAACGGGTCCACGTAGGGTGGACCCGGGCCGGGGTGACGGCGCTGCCCGCTCGCGCAGTTCTGTGTTTCCGGTGCTTGTTACCAGGACACGTGCGCGAGCGGTGCACGAGCGCCGTCGACCGCAGCGATCTATGTTATCGCTGCGGTACCCCCGGCCACCGCGCCAAGGGATGCTCGCGGGCGGCCAACTGCCCCGTCTGCGCGGAGGCGGGCAGGCCCTCCGGTCATAAGATCGGAGGGCCTGCCTGCGGTCCCTCCCCAGGCAAGAAGAGGAAGGGGAAGAAGAGAGGAGGAGCGAAGGATGCAAAGGCGGTGGAAGCCCGGAACATCGCTGATGCATCGACACAGCCCCTGCCGGAGCAACTAAGGGAGGGGAGCAATCCCCCCAAAGGAGGACCATGAGAAGGAAGGGAAGGCTGCGGATTTGCTACCATCCGCCCCAGCTGCAACTCAAGAGGGGGACCTCATAGACCTGGACTAGGAGGAAGCAACGCCAGGTACAGAGGGATGGGGCAAGTCCCAACCAGCTGCAGCCGGGAGGAAAAGAAAGGATAGAGGAGACCTGGACCACCTAACAGGAAACGAGGAATTGAAGGTAAGGAGGGTGGAGCCTACGGGCCCACCCCCAACTACTGTAAGGGGAGATGGAGGGAACGCCACCCCCATCTTCCCAGGTTGCCGATTCCTCCTCGTACTCCCGAGAGGAGGAACTCGCACAGGTAGGGACCCTCCGCCACTCCGCGGAGGCACCTGCTGAGGCACCCGCTGAAAAGGCCACCAAGGCCGAAACCTCCCCCGGGAAACCCGAGACGGCTGAACCGTCGGTGGGTGACCAGGGGGAGATTGAAGTAGGCAGCCCGGAGGAGACGTGCAAGGTGTAACTTTCACGCCACTCCGGGCCCTACAGGCCAACGTCGGCCATGGCGCCCAGGCTTAGGACCTCTGCATGCAGAGGATGACTGAGCTGGGCGCCGGGCTGGCGGTGGTCACCGAGCCGTTCTGGATCCCGGTTCGCAGTGCGAACTGGTTCGGAGATCCAGACGGCTCGGTGGCCTTGGTGGCAAACCCTGCGACGGGGGCCCCCCACCCTGTACATTCAGGGAATCAGGGCCCTCGTACGTGGCAGTCGACTGGGGGCCCGTCACTGTGGTGGGGATATATCTTCCCCACCACAGGAACAGGGCCGGTCTCGGTCGTTCCACCCCGATTAAGGCGGTCCTGGATAGGGTCGGGGAGCTGGTGCGAAGGTGCCATCCCCGACCAGTCATAGTTGCCGGGGACTTCAACGCCCACTCGGAAGGGTGGGGTTGCAGTTCCCGGCAACGGGACCGCCGGGGGAACACCGTGATCGGCTGGGTGGCGGGACTGGGCCTCATTCTAACGAATGAAAGCTCAGAGAGCACCTGCGTGCGGCCGGGGGGGTGGAACCTCGGTCATTGATTTGACCTGGGCGACCCCCTCGGCCGCGGGCTTCTTCCATGAATGGAAGGTGGAGGCGGAGGGGGAATCACTGTCTGATCACAGACATATAGTGTGGACCCTCCGCCAAACCCCAGCAGGTGCTCATCCGCCGCCCCGGGGAGAGGGAACTCCCTCTCCCCAAGAGATGGGCCCTCGGTCGACTGGACGCGGTTTCGGGCGGCTGTCCTCGTGGCATCCTGGCACCTCGAGGAGGTGCCAGGGGGGCGGAACCCCGACCCCTGCAAAGGGGCCGAGGAAATAGTGGGCATCGTGACGTCGTGCTGCGACGTCGCGATGCCCCGATCCCGCCCCCGCTCTCGCCGGGCAACATACTGGTGGAGCGAGGAGCTTCGCAAGCTCAGATGCTCCACCATCGCAGCCAGGAGGCTGCTAACACGGGCCCGGCGGGATGATGGGGATGTCATGGGGGCAAAAAGGGAATACTTCCGGGCGAGGAAGGCCCTGAAAGCCGCCATCGCCGAGGCAAAGCGAGCGGCCTGGGAGCAACTGGTAAGCTCCCTGGACGACGCCCGTGGGGGCGCCCTTACAAAAGGGTGACCGGGAAGGTCCGCCCTTGGGCGCCCCCACCGACCGAGCAGATGGACTACCAGGCCCTCGACGGGCTCCTGGATGCCTTCTTCCCGAGGGCATTTCTGGGGGAGGGAGATTGGGATGAGGGCCTGGAGGTCAGTCCAGCCTGGAGGTCAGTCCAGAGGAGCTCAACAGGGCCAGGAAGAGGCTCGAGGTCAGGAGCAAAGCCCCTGGCCCCGACGGAATTCCTGGGCGCCCCTGGGCCCTCGCACTCAGCGAGGGAAACCTATTCGCGGCCACGCGCAGGGTTTTGAGCGGGTGCCTCAGGGAGGGAGTATTCCCCCCAGAGTGGAGGAGGGCCAAGTTGGTCCTCCTCCCCAATTAGGGCAAAGCACCCGGTAGTGCGTCGGCCTACAGGCCGATATGCCTGCTGGACGAGGCGGGCAAGTTGCTAGAACGCATCATTGCCGACCGCCTCGTCCAGCACCTGTCCTCGGAGGGGCCGAACCTCCACGACCGCCAGTTTGGGTTCAAGCCCGGGAGATCAACGCTGGACGCAGTCCAGTGTCTCCGGGGCCTGACCCACGCGGTCAGGCGGGCGTGGAGAGGGACGGCGGGGTATTGCTTGCCGTTTCCTTAGACATAAGGAACGCATTCAACACCCTGCCGTGGCCGGAGATAGGGCGGGCGCTCGTGTATCACGGCGTGCCCGCCTATCTCCGGCGCATCCTTTCGGCCTACTTCGGGGGCAGGGACCTCGCCTTCCCGGTGGAGGGGTCCAGGGCCGGCGCACCATGGAGCGCGGTGTTCCGCAGGGGTCCGTCCTGGGTCCCCTGCTCTGGAACATCGCGTTCGACCGGGTGCTGAGAACTCCGCTCCCCCCAGGCTGCCACGTCATCTGCTACGCAGATGACACCTTAGTGGCGGCCGAGGGGGAGAACTGGGGGGAAGCCCACCTCCGCGCGGAGGCGGCACTGGCATCGGTGGTGGGCACCATAAAGGACCTGGGTCTCTCGGTGGCGCCCCAGAAGACCGAAGCCGTATATTTTTATGCCCGAGGTCGAGGAGCGCCCCCGGAGACACAGGTCCTTGTGGATGGCGTCCACGTCGGGCCGACGAAAAAGTATCTCGGCCTTGGACAGCCGTTGGAGTTTCGGGCCCCACTTTGGGAACCTGGCCCCCCGGGTGCACAAGGCGGGTCTGGCTGTCGCCAGCCTGATGCGCGCCCAGGGGGGTCCGGGATGGATGGCACGCCGCCTGTATGTCACGGCCGTACTCTCGATCGCCCTATACGGGGCGCCCAGCCTCTTGGCCTGCCGGAGAGGAAAACGCTCCCTCCGGCAGGCCTTAAGGCCAGTATTGATCAGGGCGATTCGAGGGTATCGGACCGTGTCATACATGGCGGCGACCACCCTGGCCGGCGTCCCTCCCGTGGAGCTCCTCGCTGACGAGAGGCATATCCTCTATTGGCGAGTGAAGGAGCTCCGCGCGGAGGGGACGCTAAGGGCCAGGGACATGAAGGGCCTGAAACTCCAGGTCAGGGACCGGACACTTCGGAAGTGGGCAGACGAGTTGTCCGACCCGAAAGTGTCCGGTCCCAAGACGGCCGCGGCTGTCCGCCCCTGCCTGTCTGAGGTGACAGGCAGGAGGGGACGTGGAATGACTTTCCACCTGGTGCGGATGCTGACCGGGCATGGTTGCTTCGGTCGGTATCTGCACCAGATAAGAAAAGAGTCCACCACTCGATGCCATCACTGCCCCATTCTCGAGGACACGGCGCAACACACCCTGTCCGCATACTCGGCATGGGACAGGGAGCGCCGTGTCCTCGAGGGGGCGGTGAAGTGCCGAAGGGGGGAGCTCTCGCTCCCGCGCATGGTCAAGGCCATGTGCGGGAGCGAGGAGGCGTTGGACGCAGCGACCTCCTTCTGCAGAGAGGTCATCTCGCAGAAGGAGGCCGCAGAGTGGGGACATCGACCGGGAGTGCGTCGCAAGAGGCGACGCTCCGGTCGACACTCCCCAGGAGGAGGAATCGGCAGCGGACTCGAGGTGGCGTCGGCCGAGGAGGACTCGTCCGTCGATAGCGACGGGTCGGGGACTCCTCGGCCGCCTCGGGCCCGCCACCGTCCGCGCGGGAGGGACTAGGGTCCCCTGGTCCTCCCCCGCGCGTTCGGATAGGTAAGGCAAAGGGGAAGCGGTGTCCTGGTTGGGGCCGGGCCCGCTCCCCCCAAAGCCCTCCCCTCCTTGACTGACAAGGAGGGGGGCAAAGGAGGATGTCTCCTTCCTCCTAATAGGTGTGACCAGAAGGCCAACCGGTGGGACAACCCACCGGGGATCGCGCCCTGGACTTCCTTCGTGGGACAGGGCGCGGTATGTTGATGGCGTGGGGCTCCTGGAGAGCCCTAGGGCCGGGGGGTTGGGGAGGGAATGCGGGAGCAGTTCCCCTAACTTCCCACCCAACGGTCCGATAGGTAGACATCCCGCAGGGGTTTTAGTCGGTAAGAGTCCGACATAATCCCCTCCCCCCAAGGGGAGGGGGTATCCATGATGGATTTCCCCTGCGTTACCAAAAAAAAAAAGGTTGCAGAAAAGAGCTTGACCTCAACTGTGATCGCAAATAGGCACCAAATTTGAAGCAAGATTTATTATATCAAATTCTGCTGTCAAACTGCGGTCAAATACGCGACAAACCTTGACATAAAGCATTTGATACAAATTTGCAGCAAACAACACTCAAACCTTGCGCGCATAACTTGGCAGAAAGTTGGCGGCAACACCGGAGCAGCGTCTTGAACTCAAGACTTGAGTGCAAGTTGACAGCAAATTCGCAGCAACGTTTGGACAAAAACAGCTGATCGCTTTAAATGGCGCGCATGGCGTATATAACCTCGGTCGTTAGGATAGAATTGGTATTTATGAATAAACAAGTTAGAACCGACATTTGTGAGAAGTAGACAAGAAATGTATATTTTATTTTGTAAAAATATGAAATACATATTTTATATAAATAATGTTTGCGATGTAACATAAATCTTGTCAAAAAAGATTTTAAATGGACGTTGCGAATGCACCTTTTATATTCTTGTCGCCTTGCTTCCGTTAATCCCCTTGCACAATGCCAGGCAACAGGCAATAAGAATAAAAATAGACCAATCACAATAGATTATTCTTGTAATAGTCGATTGTGATTGGTCTATTTTTATTCTTATTGCCTGTTGCCTGGTATTGTGCAAAGGACTTTACAGATAGCGCTTTGTATCTTTCTGGACAACATATATGTGTAAAACCGGGACATAAGAAGCCTTTTAGACGTCTTTGAATCGTTTTAAAAACATCATGCAAAAAGACGCCTTTAAAATGTCTAAAACAGGATCTACATTGGTCGTATCGTAGTATCACAGCGTCGTAACAAACATTACGACGCTGCGATACGACCAATGTAGATCCTGCTTAAGGAAATGAACCAGTCTTTCATTTGAAGCGTGGTGATAGAAATGAGAATTTTGATTGATTTATTTCCTTATGTATTATTTATTATGCCTATGCAAAAGTGCGTGCTTCCCGCTTAACTCGTTATTGAAGTTAACGACGGTTTCATTATTGTTGCGCAGCGTTTCTACGTATACAAAAGATACATAACGATAACGAAACTGTCGTTAACTCTAGTAATAAAATTGCACTACTGCATGGCAAGCGTTTCCTTTTACGTCGCGATTTCCGCTGCACGCTCCTTGATCGTCTGCAAACCAAACACGGACGAATATATAACAGAATTAGAAGAATTTACAATATACATAGATAATACAATAGAATTAGAAAAATTAGAAATTAGAAAAATAAAATTATACGATTTCAGATTTTTTTTTTTTTTTAAATGGGGAAATGCCTATGCACATCCCCGGCCGTAGATGCAGAAGCGACCGGAGATAGTGTGGGACTCGCACCCACTAAAACCCCACTGCCCATCGGTCCTTATATGACGGGACTCGGCATCATTTAACCATATGCTGCAAAAAACAAAGAGACAATAAATTTGCGGATTAATATTCATGCGTGTTAGTACTAGTAAAGAGAATGTTCGTTATACAGCTTACTTTTCTATTCCATGTGTATTAAAGCGGCGACGATGTATTTGGATGATTCCATGTCCTCTTCTTCGGTACGGCTGTCGTCTGACGATGTTTTTTCGAACAGAGGCATCCTGTAACCTTTTAAGTTGACTTGATTAATATTAATTATATGCCTATCGCTACTTATGTTACTACATTGATATACGTGAAACGCTGAAGATGGCAGGCCAATGTTAAAAGAATCATCCATCTCTAAAAATCGCTTTACAATCAAAGAGTAAGAATCTGTGTCAGCAATTATGTCAACGACAATACAGATCGATCCATCCCGCAGAATGCAACAATTGTCTCGCATATGAGTACCTAGGCATATACCATTAAATGTAATTTTTGAATAATGGACACTAGTGTTGCTATTACTACGTGATATTGATACGCGAACAGATATATCGATATCGCGATTATCGTCTCGCCCATGAAGTCGTAACTCTGTCATTCGATTAAAAAATTGCTGTAAAGGCTGATCCGGTTTCCTGCAATACTTTCTAAAAATAAACATATTATTTTCATAAGGAAAAGCGGAGAACGATTTTAAATTACCAAGGCGTCTTACGTCATTAGTAAGGTGAAGCAGACCGTGAACATTATAACTAATGAAATTAGAACCATATAAAGTATTACTACGCAATACAAATTTTTCCAGTGCAAGTTCCGCGAACCTCAGCTGTTTCTCTGATGGAGACTTTAAAAGCAAGATTCTTATAGCACCATATAGAAGCAAGAAGTGCTTATAGAGGTGGTCATCTAATATTCCATACATTACAACTAGTCCTGTATATAGAAGAAACTGGCGAAATTCTGTTGCTTTATACTTTGAAAAAATATCTAGAAATCTAGGGCGTCTTGCAAACTCGGCAGGACAATATTGTGTCAACATTTTTAAACGACCACTAATTCTTGAAATCGATCTTCCTCACAGTTTCAACATCCGTAAGTATTTCCCATATACCCAAGCAGACAATAATTTTTTTACTACACCTAAGCATACTAAATGCATATATTCAAAGGGGACCTGCGAAACCATCCCCATAGGTAACGGACTTGTGCCCTTTTTGTGATGATTTTCATCACGACGCAATCTATAATCTTCATCCGTACGAAGGAGATGTTTGACACCATGAAATACATTGCGACCATCGATCGGCATGCCATTAACTTTGCACTTAGAGCATGGGTGATAAGATGTATGACCACGATGATGTAAAAGAAAAGCTCGAGCAGGTGCATCAGCTATGAAGGCTCTTAATCTAACTGGTATTAAAGCACCGTGAAAATTTACACCTTCATTACAAATAGCTGTTATATCGATAATAAATTTTTCAAAAAAAGCATTAGCATCGTTAGGCTTTTGTGCACCTTTATATATTCCAACAACGATGGGTTTTGAATTTTGTAAATTTGATATTCTACACTGAATCTGCCAAATCTGAATTGTACCTGATCTATCTAATGTACATCTGTCAGTACTAAAATCGAGTTCTAATTCTCTAATATCAGATGCACATTGAACATTAGAAAGATATTCTACAATTGCTACTTCCACATTGAAATGTATATATTTCCCTGGCTCAACAGTGCATACAACGACACGATGCCTTGGTGTGTTCAGCAAGGTTCTTACATCTTTGGGCAAATGAGACAAACAAATATGTGTTCTCAAAACAGATAATATTCTATTTCCTTGGCTATGCGTCAAATTGCAATCAACAAATAAAGAAGCTAAATTTTCAGTAAAGGATGGTTCTGACAAGCTACTAAAACATGAAGACAATACACAAGAACTATCTGAAGAGATGGAAGATGAATATGATGCTCTATCATCCTTTACGTTTGCACTGCTTGTGCTGGCAATATTTTCATTAACGGAAGGCAAGTTATTAAAATAAGTACATTGCGATAAAGCTGAAACATTTTGCAATACGGAATTATCATTGGACTCTACATTGGTTACGTTATATGTACTCTTTCCTTCAGAATTTTGTAGTTGAAAATTGCGCCGTAATTCTCTCATAATCATATTTCTTCGTCTCATTGATAATTTATGCAACGGTTTACGCGAGGTGGATAATTTTAAATATGGCTTCATATTTACGTAACTTTGTTGTTGTAAGTCCAGGTCCAAAATGTTGTATGCTTGAAAATCCTTGAGACAACTCGTTGAATATCACACTAAATATTACTTGAATACGGCAAATTCGTCCAACACAACTCACTGCGAGTTGAACACGGAATAAACAAATGTGCAATGTACTATACGTAAAGCGAGACGCACATACTCTTGCATAAAGGCATAATGCATAACGCATAAGGAAATGAACCAATTACAGTCTTTCATTTGTATTGCTACATTTGAAATAAAAGATTGTGATTGGTTCATTTCCTTATGGTCGTATATTATTCCTTTATGCAAAAGTGTGTACTTCCCGCTGAAATTTCCACAGTAAAGCCAACGGCACACAGTGCTTGTTTTCATGCTGGATTGCATGCTGGATGAAAATACTGCGTTCTGATTGGTACATTTCCGAAGATGAATGGAAATGCATCAATCAGAACGCAGTATTTTCATCGAGCAAGCAATCCAGCACGAAAACAAGCACCGTGTGCCGTTGGCTTAAAACTTACGTTTATGCAATTATTTCAAGAATGTAGTGCCAATACTCGACAAGTAGAATAGCAATCGATCGACCAATGAGGACCACACGAACGAGACATTCTTTATCATGATTGGTTAACTGCATGCTGCTCTCAAGCATAGGGTGCATTCAATGGCTGCATTCAGTAGACTCAACAGTTGGACAACATTACTAGATTTTCCACTGAATCTCGCTCCTGATTGGTAAATACTTCTGGGTCTATGAAGAATCTAAAAGAATGCTCCAATCACAGACAATAATCACTAAGCGCTCTCTGATCACTTTGTTCTACTGAACGCGGCCAATATTACAACCGCTCATTGAGCGCTCAATGAGCTTTTACAGTTGATTGGTATATTCCTTTAGATTTAAAAATATACACCAATCAGATGCAAGAGTTCACTTAGCGCTCAGTGAGCGGTTGATTGCGTTCAGAAAACAAAGCGCTCACTGAGCGCTTAATAACTATTGGTCCCTACTATTAGATCCTTACATTCAGGCCAATAACGTTGACGAATTATTCAACCGTTGTGTAACCGTTGTGTTTTCTGAACGCAGCCGTTGTAGTACTCAATGAGCGGTTATACTGAATGCACCCTTAGATGGACATTTGAGCCTCAGGGCCCATCTTGAAATTTTCGCGTATACGTTATTTTTACTACGCAGTTTTTTATGATATGATTAAACCTCGGTTGGAGCTAAAATTCCTATCAAACTCTCAGGGTACACTTTTTGAACGCAGCTCGTAAGGCTGATGTCCCATGAGCGGAAATTTTCAGCAGAACGGAACGCTCGAACCAATCACAGCCACTCCATTCTTTTCACGAATAGAATAGAATGGCTGTGATTAGTGCGCACGTTCCGTTCCGCTAAAAATTTCCGCAGGGCATCGGCCTAACGTTATTCCTCCTTCAACTATTCTCTTAATAAGTTTACGATTTTGCGGTCAGTTATACAGCATATTTTTCGTGATTACGTCGAGTAATATAGAAGATAAATATTCTATATTGCAAGTGTGATATAGCAAGGGTTCATCATCTTCACTATGTCACAAGAAAGGTAAAAATATTTACTCTAATCTCTTTATTGCATGCTCTAAAATAAATTGCTTCTCTAAAATAAATATTTGCTTAATTATTTCTGGAATTAGCCCCCTTTATGAAATAATTTTTTGAAATAATTTAAAATAATTTTTTTTCTCTTCAATTTCATTATATATATAAATAAATAGATAAGCTGTTTATTGTTTTCCTGTGAAGTTACAATTTTATACATCTTGCTTTCTCGCCACTTTCTCTCGCCCACTCCCTATACCCCCCCTCCACACACACGCGCGCGCGCGCGCACACACACACACATGCACACACACGCACGCGCACACACACACACACACACACACACACGCACGCACACACATACATACACACACACCTTTTCTCCTTTCTTCCCCTCTATCTATCCACCCATCTCTAGCTTATATCTAACTCAAATTATCTTATTAGCTTACTTACTAATTAGCTTAAATTCTAATGCTTATGTGCTATTGCTTATAATTAATGCTTATATACTACTCCTTATATCTATTGCTTATAACTAATTACATTTAATTGGTGGGACTTCCGTTTCCTTTCTCTTACTATCCTTCACCCTTCATTCATACTCTTATCCTATTTTCTCTCCCTCCCCGCTCCCTCAATACTCCATCTCCCTCGTTCCCTCCCTCCTCTCCTCCTCCATTTTCTCTCATCCCTTCTCCTCGCCATCTCTCTACCTCTCTTATCCATCCCTCTGGTTTCTCTCCACCACCCAATATCTTCTTTACCACCCCCAATTTGTTATATAATCTCATTTCATTTTATAATATAATTTCATTTCAATTTAATGTAACCACGTTAGGGGAAGGAGGAATTATTTCAAGTAAAATAAGGAATTGAAACTTTTAAGCAACCTCTTTAACCTCTTGAACAAAGTATATTTATATATGCATTGCTATTGTTTCAGATCCACAGAGCGACCAAAACGAAGTATAACAAAGCCTCCCCGATATTTAACAACATCAGATGAAGGACCCCCACAGAGGAGGCGCTTCGCAGCATCTGCTGCAGCTGGTTCTATCAATGACGACATAAATGAAATAACAAGAACCTTGGAGGATGAAGCTACAACTTTTAATATAGAAACACACGTTCAACCTACATTAAATGCACAATCATTTACAAACACTAATACTGGACATAATACACAAACACGTACATACACGCCTAACATACAGATGCACACACACACCTCACCCATGCAAACATACACAAACAAATTACCAACATAAACACATTTTATATTGAATAAAGAAGACGGACAAATCCTGTATACCAATAACAGTTTGTCTCATGTGCGAACTCCACAGCCAGTGCAGCAGGAGAAAGGCTTCCAATATGGTCAAGGCAGTACAATTTTCCCTCCGCAGGATGACAATCTAGAAAAAAGGTTTGTTCATTATCAAATATATGCTAACTAATTTCGATACATGATAAAATATATAGTTATTAAATAGATTATTGGAACATATATGTATCTTTTATTTGAATTTCTAAAAGGAATTAAAAATTATTTGTCTATTTGTCTACTATTAGAAACTAATTGTAATTGTTGTTTTCGTTACAGGAGAAGTGAAGCACTCTTGACCAGAATGGAGCAACGCATAATTAACATAGAGGTTGAAATTAAGTAAGTTCTGTGACAAATAATCATATATGTATTTATATACATATATATACCCAGCAAACACAATGTTACATGTAACGTACATGTTAGTTGTAGTTTCCTACTCAACAATGAAACTGTTATATAACACGTGTGTTACATGACAGTTATATCGTTGAGTAGAATGTTACAACTAACATATACATTACATGTAATACTGTGTTTGTTGGGTATATATACAACTTTACTGTGTTTTATCTTGTTTCTTTTCAGAAAATTAAGTGCAGGTATAAATAAAATATTAAAGTACATTCAGGATCGCCAATCCGCGTTGAGAAAACCAGAAGGCTTACCTATTACAACTATTCAACAAATGCAGGAGTTAGAATAATCAACAGAAGAATATTATACCAATGTTGTAAGTAAAATTAATACCTTTTACGTCACACGAAAATTACGTACATAATATATTGCTTGTTTTAGGTCAATTACTTTCATTATATTGGCAGCTTCACTTTGAAAGAAGCAACCAATCTTTGCCTCAGAGAGGGTTTGCACGACTCACTGGCGCCATCATATACTTGGTTCGGCCGCGACGAAGGACGTCAATCATTATATAATACTCGGCTCGTTAAGGCCATCTATGGTAAGAAATATTTTCAGTCTTCATAGAGAGAGAGAGAGAGAGAGAGAGAGAGAAGAGAGAGAGAGAGAGAGAGAGATTAGTTAGTATTGTCATCCAACAAGAAATGTGCTTCTTTCGCAGATGCTGTATGTAGAAACAACTACTTTGCAAAACCTCACCTGGGAAGTAAGATGATAATTGCAATACATTTGCTTTCTTCTTGTGATGTTCAAATCACAAGCGAACAATAGCGTTTGGTAACTGCGCCTACATTTGCGTTTACGATCGTCTCTTGACTAATTAGAAAAAAGCTACTGGTGACTGCGATTTTTCTGATTGATCAAGAGACAATCGTAAATATAAACGTTAGTGTGATTTGGGCATTAAACAGCGTTCATTCTCGATCTCACTGTGACTTGTAAATTCATCTGCAAATTTGAAATGGACATTTATATTCTTTGCATTTTACAGACGAACGCGGTTGCAGTTATTGCGGCGGTCACAGAACCACAGAATGTCCGAAATTGGAAGCCATGCAGAATAAGCAAGTGTCAAATATCGGATGTCGCAAGCTAACAATGCGACAGATTACTAAATATTAAGATATTTTATAGATAATTATTGTATGTATATACAATAACATATACAAAAAGATTATATATATAATATATATACATATATAAAAGATCTTTTAGTATATGTTAAAGCGCTGTAAAAACAAAATATGTTACGAGAAACAAAATCTTATAAAATTGTTACATTCGCGTTATGTTTGCGGAATAATTATGCAGAGAATTGATAGACAAGCGCGAAGAGTTCCTGCACTCCGCCAACTTCAAGGACTCCTTCATTTCATCGAAGAAATGCACTCACGAAAGAGACCAAGCAAAGCATATCGCAAGCGTTATTTTTATTAAAAATGTTTCTTATATATTTACAAAATAAAATTAATATTGTATACTCACAAATACCAATTCTAACTTCTTTATTCAGAAATACCAATTCTAACCTAACGACCAAGGTTATATACGCCATGCGAACCATTTAAAGCGATCAGCTGATTTAATGCAAACGTTGCTGCGAATTTGCTGTCAACTTGCACTCAAGTCTTGAGTTCAAGACCTTGCTCCGGCCGCCAACTTGCTGCCAAGTTATGTGTGCAAGGTTTGCGTGTTGTTTGCTGCAAATTTGCATCAAATGCTTGACGTTAAGATTTGCAGCCAAATCCATAGCCTCAAGACGCCGCAGATGACTATGGTTTTGGCATCAACATTTGATCAAATTTGCTGCCAATTTGCGTGCAACTTGCTCTCAATTTGCTTGCTGGGATTGACAGTAAATGTATTCTATTGCCTTATACTAACGATAACAATTGTTACGTATGCTTACCAATCGTACATAGCTTGGACTAATGTATTAGTTCAAATATCCTCTAATATGAGTTTTTTTTGTTATATTCCATTTAATTTACGAAAGTGTGATAATTGAAGAAATTGTGATTTTAATTATGCTGCCAAAGATTACATAACATGTTATATTCTATTTCTATTTGATTTTATAATAATATATTATACATTATGTAAATAAGAGCTTTTATGTTTCAATAAAAAATTAATGATCTGATGTATATGTCTTTTTGTACTATATTTGTGTCTTCATTATGTCCTAAATATATCATCTTGCTGCCTGTATGATGATAAATACGTCCAAATAAGATCCATTTATGACGTCAAAATACGGTCCTTCTATGACGTCAAAAAACGGTCCTTCCATGACGTCAATATTTTGGGACATTCGACCGTCTTTTGGACGTCATAACGACGTCAATCCCTGACGTCGATTTCATTTAGTCGAACGACGTCATTTAGTCAGAAAATGACTAATTTTCGACGTCATAATGACGGCTGTTTGCTACCTGGGATGTTATATAACAGTTATATTCTGTGTTTGCTGGGTTATTTCTTTGTACAATATATTACGCCAATGTTTTAGTAACATTTTAATATTATTAAAACATTAACGTCAATGTTATTAAAACATTGGTATAATATAATGGGCACGATCCATTACACTGCAAACTCTTCCAAAGTGGTGTACGGACCAATCCTGGCTTTCCTTCGGGCGTCTCGAAGCATTCGCAGCATTTAATTAATCGCATCCATAATTGTATCAAGAAATAATGCTAAGGTCATAAAAACATTGCCATCATGTTTATAAGCGTAACATTACAATGATCTTCCTATATTAAAGTTAATATTGGTGTAAAATGTTTTGTGTTATGTGGAGATATCCAAGAGACGTCTAAAATACATCACTGTGTATGCTTCTTCGTTCTCAGGACGTTCTTAAAATATCTTGTGCTGTATGGATACCTTTATATTATTGAATAGAACTTACGATATACTTTATAACACTGATAATATTACTGTTAGTGCTTACTGGGACGTGTATTACTGAAATGTAAATTTTCTGTTTTTCGGTATTAACAGCGCTACACGTTTTTGCAAATGGCAGCTATCAAACAAGTATTGGACACAATTTATATCTTGCGATAAGTCAAGCAATATCTGTATCCAGATGCATTCATGAAGTAATACATGCATTAAATCAGCAGAATATAATGAATAAATGGATAAAATTTCCCAGTACTTTATATGAATTAAAATATGCATGACAAAAGTTAGTATTTAAATGTATTTAAATTTGTACATCTTAATATATCCCAGACAGGAATGTAATGTGTATAATGTTAATATTTCATGAGAAGCACAGATTTCCTAGAGTAATTGGATGCATAGATTGCACTCACGTTGCTATTTTCCCACCACAAAGTCACGGTGACGTTAATGTTGAACATTTATATATTAATCGAAAGGGTTACCATTCTATAAATGTGCAACTAGTAAGTATATGTAATATCTCTTTACATATTATTATTATGGGTTTTATTTGTATATTAATATTACACACAATATTTTAATAGGTATGCGATTGGCGTTTAAAGATTTTAAATGTTAATTCGCAATATCCTGGGAGCACACATGATTCTTATATTTGGAATAATTCGAACGTAAAAATAGGAATGGAAAGAATTCATACACTATGGCCAAATATGTCAATCTTTTTTCTAGGTGAGTCGACCGTATTAATATTACACATATGCATAATATATCAGGTGTAGTAAAAAGAAATCCATTATTTTTCCAATAGATGGCTTTAGTTATCTGTATCTCGCGTTGTATAAGTCCGATCGGGTTCCACTAGATGGCGTTAGAAAGATGAGATTTCGTACTAAAAAAACTTTTTTGACAGTTTTGTGATTAGTTGACTCAGTTTTGTTTGAGCGCGTGTCAAAGATGGACACTAGCAAAGAGAAAATACGCTATATTTTACAGTTTTTCTTCGATAAAGGCGAAAACGCAAGCCAGGCGGCTGAAAATGTGAATAGTGTTTATGGTCCTGATACTATAACAGCCAATCACGCGCAATTTTGGTTTCGTCGATTCCGTTCCGGTAATTTCGATGTCAAAAATGCACCACGCACTGGAAGGCCAATTGTCGAAAATATCGATAAAATCATGGACATTATCGAGTCCGACCGTCATGTAAGCACTGTTTCGATTGCCCAAGAGCTAAAGATTGCCCAAAAAACCGTTTGGAACCATTTGAATAAGGCTGGATACAAAAAGAAGCTCGATGTATGGGTGTCACACGAGTTAACGAAAAAAAACCTCATGGACCGAATTTCCATCTGCGAATCGCTGCTGAATCGCAACAAAATCGACCCATTTCTGAAGCGGTTGGTCACTGGTGATGAAAAGTGGATCACTTACGACAACGTCAGGCGAAAACGGTCGTGGTTGAATCGCGGTGAGCCGGCGGAAACGGTGGCCAAGCCAGGATTGACGGCCAGGAAGGTTTTGCTGTGTGTTTGGTGGGATTGGCAGGGAATTATCTATTATGAGCTGCTCTCCTACGGCAAAACTCTTAACTCGGAACTGTACTGTCAACAATTGGACCGTCTGAAGGAAGCAATCGCCCAGAAGCGGCCAGCTTTGGCCAATAGGAGAGGAATTGTGTTCCATCAGGACAACGCCAGGCCACACACATCGATAGTGACTCGCCAGAAGCTCCGGGAGCTTGGTTGGGAGGTTCTTATGCATCCACCTTATAGTCCGGACCTGGCACCAAGTGATTACCATCTGTTCCTGTTCATGGCGAACAATTTTGCTGGTGAAAAATTCGCTTCAAGAGAGGCTTGTGAAAATCGACTGTCTCAATTTTTTGCCAATAGGGACGAGGGCTTCTATGAGAGAGGCATAATGAAATTACCTTCAAAATGGCAACAAGTTATCGAACAAAACGGCGCATATTTGATCTAAATCGGATCATTCTAACTATGGTAATTAAAGCCTTCAATTTCATGCAAAAATAATGGATTTCTTTTTACTACACCTGATACATATATGTAACATATATAACATATATGCTTATATATGTTCTTTATGTAATAAGAATAAAGTTTTTATAAGAAATAATGTTTATTATCTACAAAATAACACTATGTATAATTCTATATGAATGTTATTTATACTGATATATTGATACTTTATTTGGATAGACTGGAGCTTTGTTTATATGGATATGCGTAGCAAAAACCTTATTAAGATATGCAAAAACATAAGTTTCTTATTACGACGAAATATAGACAAATTTAAGAAATCCATATAAGGGCATTTAATAAGGAATCTTATATGACTTAATATAAATATTTATTTGGTCTAATCTATATAAAACTATTTGAAGATACCATATATAACTTAATATATTTCTTTATTTAGTCCAAATTAAATTTTTATAAAATTTTAGTATAAAATGCTGAATCCTTATTAGTATCTTATTAAGTCTGAATAAAAATATATTAAACTATATTAATTTTTATTAATTTTATATTAAATTTATATTAATTTTTTTTTCGCGGGATCTCTTTTCATCATTACAATCTATTTTATTTAATAAAATATTTAGTCATATTTTTAGGTTATATTTTAGGTTATACTTGATCTCAAATATTTAATACAATACTAAATATAGTATTTTCTATATTAGAGAAATGTAAACACAAATAGCTGCTTTAAACTAAATGTGGAAAAATTTTATTCTTGAATATGATCATCCGAACACCTCAAAATGATATTTTCCTACTGGGATATAGATTTTTAGAACAAGAAGATTATTATAATTTTCCTATTGCATCTTCAGAACTTGGAATTGTTAAAGTTTCTCGTCTAGAAAGCGAAAGAACTGCTCATAAAATTAAAAATTTTTTTTGTAAATGCGTTCTTTTTCCGGACAATAACGAAACATTTGTATGCATTCCTTTTGTACACTGCAATAATCATTAAAATGCTAGTAAGAACAAATTCTATATTTTTTCTAATTTTATTATACAAATTATATTGGGTAAAGTAAAAAGTTCTGAGCGTTTTTTTCTCTTTATTTCGACGATGAAATTAACAAAGTTAGGATTATCGGATTTAGATCAAATATGCGCCGTTTTGTTTGATAACTTTTGTCCATTTTGAAGGCAATTTCATAATTCCGCGATTGAAGAAGTCCTCGTCCCTATTGGTAAAAAACTTGACCAACTCATTTTCACAAGGCTCTCTTGAGGCCAGTTTTGTACCATCAAAAAAATTTTGCAAATGCTTGAAAAGGTGATAATCGCTTGGAGTCAGGTCTAGGCTATACGGCGGGTGCGATATAACCTCCCATCCAAGCTCTCGGAGCTTCTGGCGCGTCGTCAAAGATGTGCGGCCTGGCATTGTCTTGATGGAACACAACGCCCTTCCTATTGGCCAATTCTGGCCGCTTCTCGTCGATCGCCTGCTTCAATCTGGTCAGTTGTTGACAGTGTAGGTCCGAATTGAATGATTGGCCCGATGGGAGCAGCTCATAGTGGATGATTCCCTTCCAATCCCACCAAAAACACAGTAAAACCTCCTTGGCCGTTAATCCTGGCTTGGCGATCGTTTGGACCGGCTCACCGCGCTTGGACCACGATCTTTTTCGCCTATTGTTCTCATATGTGATCCATTTTTCATCTCCAGTCACCATCCGCTTCAAAAATGGGTCGATTTCGTTACGCTTCAGCAAAGAATCGCAGGCATGAATTCGGTCCAAAAGGTTCTTTTGCATCAATTCGTGTGGCACCCATACATCGAGCTTCTTCTTGAGACCAGC